TTCCAAAAGAGGAAAGTAACCAACAGTCCTACCCATCTATGATCCCTATGAACCACAAAATCACCAGCATGGCATGATAACCCTAATAGTGCAGTAAGGGAATGCATATATTAGCAGTAACCAACACCTAATTAACTCACTCAACAAAAGGGATATCATGCCTGATACTGAAATCTAACCAATCGCTTGGTGCTAATGAAGTCATGGAACTTGGAGGAGAACCTACCAACTGCCCTTTACTAAATCAGTATAATCCCTACTAACAAGCTTTTTATTTTAATTCTTCTCTCATACAGTATATCCCAACTGCAGTTTCTCCTCTCTCCACTCTTCCCAGTATCCCCAGCTCCCCCAGATCCACTGCTCCTCTATTTCCCCTCAGAAAGGAATGGGCCTCCCAAGGATGTCAGCTGAGCACATCATAATAAGATACAATAAGACCAGGTACAAACCCTCATATCGAGGCTGGGTGAGGCAATCCAGCAGGAGAAAAAGGGACCCAAGAGCAGGCAGAAGAGTCAGAGACACTCCTACTCATACTGTTGTTTTTCTTCCTATTAAAAATAGTGCTGTACAGAACACCACTACAGCCTCCCTTTCCCCTTCTCCATGCCTCCTGTAGATCCCATAGAGCAATCCCTTCTGATCTCCCTCACCCCACTCCTCCTGGCATCCCAGCCTCAAACACCAGCAAGCAATCCTTGTGAACACACCAGCTGGACAGGTCAGGAAAACAGGCAACACACAGTCATCACAATCTCTGAAAATCTAGAGAAGGGACAGAAACCAATGAACAAAACAGCCACCCAATAAAGAAAAAAACAGAAATCTGCAACTAGACCTATAATCACCCCAAACCCAGGTACCTAGATGCCAGCACAAAAACACAATCAATAACAGGCAGGGTAATATGTCTCCACCAAAGCCTAGTCATTCTACCACAGCAAGCCTTGAATATCCCAATATATCTGAAACAGAAAAAAAAATACCTTAGAACCAACCATACAAACATGATATAAGTCCTTAAAGAAGAAATAAGTAAATAAATCCAGGAAAACAAAACAAACAACTTGAGGAAATTAATTAACTCCTTAAAGACAGGAAAATACAAACAAATGGAGGAAATAAGTAAATCCCTTAAAGAAAGCAGTGAAAACAAACAAATAATTGAAGGAAATGAATAAAAATATTTAAGACATGAAAATGAAAATAGACAAAATAAAGAAAACAAAAACTGAGGGAATTCTGGAAATGGAAAGTCTAGGTAAGCAAATAGTAGCTACAGATGCAAGCATCACCAACAGAATACAAGAGATAAAAGAGAGAATATAAGGCATTAAAGATAGATAGAGAAAATAGATTCATCAAAGAAAATGTTAAATCTAAAAATTTCCTGACACAAAATATCCAGGAAATTTAGGACACTATGAAAAAAAAAACAAACCTAAGAGTAATAGGAATAGAAGAAGAAGAATCCAAGTTCAAAGCCCAGAAAATATATCCAACAAAATCACAGAAGAAAAATTTTCCAACTTAAAGAAGGACATGCCTATAAAGGGTACAAGAAGCTTACGGAATACCAAATCAACTGGATCAGAAAAAAAGTCCCCACACCACATAATAATCAAAACACTAAACATGCAGAATAAAGAAAGAATATTAAAAATTGCTAAGGAAAAAGGCCAAATAACATATAAAGACAGACCTATCATAATTACATCCACTTCTCAATGGAGACTCTAAAAGACAGAGGGGCCAGGACACACTTCTTGCAGACTCTAAGAGATCACAGATGCCAGCCAAGACTACTATACCCAGCAAAACTTTAAATCACCATAGATGGAGAAAGCAACATATTTCTTGACAAAATCAAATATAAATAATATTTATCTACAAATCCAGCCCTACCGAAGGTACTAGAAGGAAAACCCCAATCCAAGGAAGTTAACTATACATAGGCAATAGGTCATCTCACATCAGCAAAACCCAAAGAAGGGAAACACACACACACACACACACACACACACACACACACACACTAACAACAACAACAACAACAAAATAACAATCACTGGGCATTAATCTCTCTCAATATCAATGGGCTCAATTAGCTGGTAAAAATACACAGGCTAACAGAATGGATATGAAAACAGTATCAATCCTTCTGCTGAATACAAGAAACACACTTCAACATCAAAGACAAACATTCCTCAAAGCAAAGGGTTGGAAAAAGATTTTCCAATCAATTGGACTTAAGAAGCAAGCTGATGTAGTTATCCCAATATCTAACAAAATAGACTTTAAACCAAAATTTAATCAAAATGATATCAAGATCAGATAAACACTGTAAATAGACCTCTAAGCCCTAAGGAAATAGAAACAGTTATTAAGATTCTCGCAACCAAAAACACTCCAGGGCCAGATGGTTTTAACACAGAATATTTCATACTCATCAAAGGAAAAATCCACCAAGAAGATGTCTCAATTATGAACAACAATGCCACAAATACAAGAACATCCAATTTGTGAAAGAAACATTACTGAAGCTTAAATTACACATAGAACCATATATATTAATAGTGGGAGACTTCAACACCCCGTTCTCATCAATGGACAGGTCATCCACACAGAAACGAAACAGAAATACTGGAGCTAACAGACATTATGACTCAATTGGACCTAACAGATAGATCTACAGAATATTTCACCCAAACAAAATATACCTTCTTCTCAGCACCTCATGGAATCTTCTCCAAAACTGACCATATACTTGGTCACAGATACCAAAAAAAAAAAAAAAAAAATTGGGTAATGTCCTTTATCTTATCAGATCACCATGGATTAAAGCTGGAGTTTGATAACCTCATAAACCACAGAAAACCTACAAACTAATGGAAACTGAACAATTCTCAACTGAATCACCACTGGGTCAAGGAAGAAATAAAGAAAGAAATTAAAGACTTCCTAGAATTCAATGAAAATGAAAGCACAACATACCCAAACTTATGGGACACTATGAAAGCAGTGCTAAGAGCACTATTAGCACTAAGTGCCTTCATGAAGAATTTGGAGAAATCTCCTACTAGTGACTTAACAGCACACCTGAAAGCTCTAGAACAAAGAGAAGCAAATACATAAAAGAGAAGTAGATGGCAGGAAATAATCAAACTGAGGGCTAAAATCAATAAAATTGAAACAAAGAGAACAATACAAAGAATCAATGAAACAAAGAGTTGTTTGTTTGAAAAAAAAATCAACAAAATAGACAAACTCTTGTCCAAACTAACTAAAATGCAGGGAGAGAATATCCAAATTAACAAAATCAGAAATGAAGAGAGGTACGTAAAAAAAAAAAAAAAAAAACTTAAAAAATCCAGAGAATCATTAGGCCATACTTCAAAAACCTGTACTCTAGGGAAAATCTAAAAGAAATGGACAAATTTCTTAATAGATATCACATACCAAAATGATACCAAGATCAGATAAACACTGTAAATAGACCTCTAACCCCTAAGGAAATAGAAGCAGTTATTAAGATTCTCCCAACCAAAAACACTCCAGGGCCAGATGGTTTTAACACAGAATTCTACAAGACTTTCAAAGAAGAGCTAATGCCAATACTCTTCAAATTGTTCAACAAAACAGAAACAGAAAAACATACCCAAATTCTTTTTATGAGGCCACAGTCACCCTGATACCCAAACCAAACAAAGATGCAACAAAGAAAAGGAATAACAGACTAATTTCCTTCATGAACATTGATGCAAAAATACTCAATAAAATATTATAAATGGAATCAAAGAACACATCAAAAAGATCTCCACCATGATAAAGTGAGCTACATCCCAGAGAAGCAGGGATTGTTCAACATACAAAAATCTGTCAATGTAATCCATCACATAAATAAACTGAAAAAAAACACAAGATTATCTCATTAGATGCTGAAAAAGCCTTTGACAAAAATCCAACACCCCTTCATGAAAACAGTCTTGGAGAGATCAGGAATACAAGTAATATAGCTAAACATAATGAAAGCTATATACAGCAAGCTGACAGCCAACATCAAATTAAATGGAGAGAAACACAAAGCAATTCCACTAAAATCAGGAACAAGACAAGGCTTTCTACTCTCTTCATATCTACTCAATATGGTACTTGAAGTTCTAGCTAGAGCAATAAAACAACAAAAGAAGATCAAGGGGATACAAATTATAAATGAAGAAGTCAAAGTGTCACTCTTTGCAGATCATAAGTTAGTATACATAAGCAACCCAAAAATTTTTACCAGGGCACTCCTACAGTTGATAAACACCTTTAGTGAAGTGGCTGGACACAAGACTAACTCAGAAAAATCCGTAACTCTCCTATATACAAATGATAAAAGGACTAAGAAAGAAATCAGGAAAATAATACCCCTTATAATAACCACAAATAATATAAAATATCTTGATGCAACTCTAACCAAGCAAGTGAAAGGCCTGTATGACAAGAACTTCAAGTCTTTGAAGAAAGAAATTGGAGAAGATATCAGAAAACCAAAAGATCTCCCATGTTCATGGATCAGTAGGATTTACATAGTAAAAATGACCATCTTACCAAAAGCAATCTACAGATTCAACACAATCCCCATCAAAATCCCAACACAATTCTTTACAGACCTTGAAAGAACAATACTCAACTTCATATGGAAAAACAAAAAACCCAGAATAGATAAAAGAATCTTGTACAATAAAAGAACTTCTGGGGTATTACCATCCCTTATTTCAAGCTCTTCTACATAGCTATAGTAATAAAAACAGCATGGTATTAGCCAAAAATGTCCCCTTGATCAACAGAATCAAGTTAAAGTCCCAGATGTAAGTCCATACACTTATAGACAACTGATTGTGGACAAAGAAGCCATAAATTCACACTGGAAAAACAGACAGTATCTTCAAAAAAATTGTGCTGGTCAAACTGGATGTCGACATGTAGAAGAATGCAAATAGATCCATACTTACCATCCTGCACAAAACTCAGCTCCAAATGTATCAAAGACCTCAACATAAAGCCAGGTACAATGAATCTGATAGGAGAGAAAGTGGGACATAGTCTTGAACTCATTGGCACAGGAAAAGACTTTCTGAACAGAACACCAACAGCACAGACACTAAGCACAATTAATAAATAGAATCTCAAAAAACTGAAAATCTACAGCACGGCAAAGAACACCCTCATTCACACAAGGCGGCAGGCTACAGAATGGCCAAAGGCTATTACCAACTACACATCTAATGGAGAGCTAATATGTAAAATATATAAAGAACTCAAAAAACTGGACATCAAGAAAACAATGCAATTAAAAATGGGACTCTATGGCCTACCACAGTGACACTTGCTCAACCATGTTCATTGCGGCTCTATTCATAATAGCCAGAAACTGGAAATAACCTAGATGTCCAGCAACAGATGAATAGGTAATGAAAATGTGGTACATTTTACAATGGAATATCACTCAGCTATTCAAAAAAATCAAATTGTGAAATTTTCTGGTAACTGGATAGACCTAGAGGAAAAAATCAACCTGAGTGAGGTAACCCAGACCCAAAAAGACAAATATTCCACTTACATGTGGAAGTAATTTGTTAAATCTTTGGTAAGCAGTCTGTACAATCCATATAATCACAAATGTTAGTTATAGAGTAAAGGACTGGGAGAAGGGAAAGATCCCCCAGGAAAGGGAAATAGAATGTATATTATGGATGCATGGGACGAAGGAGACTGGAAGAAGAAAATCAGAGATGGGGAGGAGGAGAGGAGTTAAGAGGAAACGTGGGGAAGGATAACTAAATCAGGGTTATTGAGGGGTCATATAGAAATACACTACAGTAGAATATATACAAATGTAAAGGAAATATAAATGGAATCACCAAATAACAGGGAGACACCATCCCAGCTAGACATCTCTCACCACCAAGTGAAACCTCCACTGCCAGGAATGCATTACATCTAATTGAGTTGTTGGCCAAAGGGGTCCCATGGAAACCCCTAAACAACTCAGGTTATTGCCAAGGATTTTGGTTGCTCTCCATAAACTGGTGATAAGGCCCTGTTGCTGAAGACAACACCTGTATAATTCACTGAACATGGAGAAGCCGAGCCAGGGAGTAACTAGAGCCCACCCTACTGACTCTATTCATGGTAGGAGAAGATACTCCTCTGCACACTACCAGAGAAGAAAGGTGAGCACCAACCCAGCTACAAACCCTCCCCTTGGTGCTCAGGGAACTTTGCAGAAGAGGAGGTGGACAGATTGTTAGAGTCAGTGGAGAGGGAGGACACCAAAGAAACAAGGTCTTCTAGACACAGCAGGACTGATGCACACACGAACTCACAGAGACTGTGCAGCATGCACAGGGACAGCACAGGTCCAAGGCAGATGGCATCAGCTCTGAGAGAAGTGGACACAAGCCCCATCCCTAACCTGTAAGCTATCTCCAACTGACAACTAATCACAAGGGAAAGTTAGTTCTCTCCAATGGAGTCTCACTAGATACACAAATCACACTTAGGGACAGGCCCTATGCCCAGGAGTAGTCAGCCAACACAAAATGAACTCGATGGTATTTTTGGAGGGTTTTTTTTTTCCTCCAAAGTTATCTGGGCATTTTTTAACCTTACAGTTCCTTTGCTTATGTATTATGTTTTCTGACATTTTTTATAGGTTTTGTATGTATAAATGTGTGTGTGTCTCTTTATCTGTGTGTGTTCCTTGTGTTTTTTCATTGGCTGTTCGTTTGTTTGTTTGCGCACATGCCATGGTGTAAATTTCGTGAGTGAGTTCTTTCCTTTCACCATGAACTCCTGGGATCTAACTCAGATTTTCAGACTTTCATGGCAAGTGCCTTTACCCACTGAGCCATCTTGCCAGCTGACATTAGCTAACATTTTAAACATTCTTTTTAAAAGATTAAACACACGCAATTGTTTTTACTTTATAAACATTTTTACCATGTTAAGATTTTTTCCTATTTTTTTCTGTTTTTTTTCCAAACAATATATTTTGGTAGTATTCTTCCCCCTGTCCCAACTCCTCCCAGATCCTCCTCCATCTCCCTACCTATCCATCTTCATGTTCTTTCCTTACCTCAGAAAACAAAACAAAATAAAAACAGAAACTAAAAAATAACAAAACAGGAACAGAAAACATATACACACAGAGACCAAAAAAGAGTATGTTTTATGTTGGCCAATCACTCCTGAGCCTGGGGCCTGCCCCGGAGTGTAGCTGATGTACCCAGGACACTCCACTGGAGAAAACACGTATCCCTCTGCAGCAGGCATCAGCTGCAGACAGCACTGTGGTAGGGTGGGACTTTGTTCCACTTCCCCTTCGCTCCAGTGCGGTTTTATCTGGCTTGAACTTGTGCATGTCTTGTGCATTCTGTCATTATCTCTGTGGGTTTATATAAGCATCGGTCCTGTTAACACATGTGAAATCTAATTACAGTTATCTAATTCACTTATGTAGCTCAGTGAGCAGGGCGAAGCTGAGCTGGTGCCTACCTCACACCTTCATCCCTACTGACTATTGTTTATGGTACTGGAAAGTACTCTGCATGCTGCCAGAAAACAAAGATAAACACCAACCCAACTATAAATCCTTGGATTAACAATGGTGACCTGTCTGCATGATATGCTTGCAGCATCTCATTCAGCCATCTATGGAGAAGCTTCCTCCTGCAGTAGATGGGAACTAATATAGAGCCCAACAAATGGACAATGTGCTGAGAGTGAGAGACCTTGGAACACTCAGTCCTAAATGAATGACTTCATCAAACCCCTCTCCTCAGAGCTCAGGGGACTGGACTGAAGAGGAGGGAGAAAGATGGTAAGAGCCAGAGAGAATGGAAGATATCAAGGAAACATGCCTTACAGACACAATATGACTGAAGCACACACACACTCACAGAGACTTGTGACAGCATGCACAGAACCTGCAGAAGTCCAAGCTAGAGGGGGTCCCTGTGCTGAGCGGGGAACAGACAAGAGCTCCCATCCTTAACTCAGAAGCCATCTCCAACTGACAACCACTCACAAAAGAAAACTCAGTTTCCTCTAATGGAGTCTTACTGGGTATGCAAACCACAGTTAAGGGCAGATGCCATGCCCAAAAGTAAATGGCCAACATAAAACCAGTTCAAAGTAGTTTTGGAGATGTTTTGTCTCATAATGCCTTGTTTGGACTTTTTTTTAATCTTACTGGTCTTTTGCTTGTATATTATGGTTGTTGATTTTGTATTTTTATGGTGTGGGGGGAGGTGCATTTCACATATTCTTTGTTTCTTTTTGTTTTCTCCTTGTTTGTTTCTCTTTTATTCATCTGTTTGTTTTTGTAAGAGATAAAGAAAGAAGATGGGGCGTTGAAATGATGAGAAGGAGGGGGAGGATCTGGGAGGAGATGAGAGAGGAGAAACCATGACCAGAATATACTGTATAAAAATAAACTTTATTTTCAACAACAACAAAAAGTTTAAAGAGAAAATTAAAAGAGAAACAGAATTACTAAGAAAAATATCTTTTTGTAATAGAATAATGGAGAATTTTTAATAGCTATAATAACCATGACAACCTTAAACCTTAAAACAATACTAATATACAATAGGATAAATCCGTTTTAACAAAACAAAGAATAAAAAGAGACATATTCAAAATAAAGCAACGTATTTATAGGCAGACCAGAAAACCCATGAGGTTTTTTAGCAAGAATACTATGAATAAAATAAATAAATAAACAAGATCACTGGCTCTTAGATTATGCCTCATAACTATAAATGCATTCAAGGAGGTCAATTAACTTAATAAATTCCTATGTAGTCAGTCTATTCTGAACACTTTAAAATCATTACTGGTACCATCTCTGATTTAATAAATATGCAAAAATAATATTTGTGGATATGGGATAAATGTGTCATGAGAAAGAAAACGAAGAACCATCTTCATTGGGTGTCTTTGGACAAAGGAAGCATCTCCAGTGAGCATCACTTCTGGAGTGCTGAAGTCTGTGCTTCGTATAGCTGCTTCTGGATCTTTTTGTCTCTTTCTTTACATTTCAAGAGCATCTTGCAAAGACACCCATCCTCTGTGGCGCTAATGTTTTACCCAGTGGCTCAGGGGATTGGCTTCTCATGAAATCCTAGCATCTATTTACTTCTCTAACATTCCAACACTGAAAATTACGTTAAATCCCCTGGTGCTCCTTCATAGTGCAAATAGTGATAGTTTAACAAAATTTTTCAGTCTTAATTCAAAAGTGACCTTTTAGAATTTAGGTAAAATGCTAGAGTCTAAAGCATGAACCTATTCTATAAATACACAAATTGAAAAGCAAACTTTCTTCCTTTCAAAAAATTTTAAAAACCTAGAAAAATAGACATGTGTGAAATGCAATAAAAATATTATGATTCAATTAGAATTGAGAGATTCTGGAGCAGGGACCATAGGACCACCAGCGCAGAAAGACAGTTTCTACTCCGTCCTGCACGCACAGGTGTTCCTCAGGACACACATATTTCTGGTTCAGAGAAGAAAATGAGTTTTCATTTCAATGACTTACAGACAAATGCTTCAAAGTGCTTCCTTACATTAGTCTTCACTTTACTCCCTTGTCTCAGGTTCCTCTAGCCCCACATGAGCAGCCACCAATGTTTCCACCCTCCTCCTCCAGGATCTGCCCTCCCTTTGAAACTGAGTTCATCTTCAGTGAAGTAAAAAGTACCAAAGCCACTTCAGTGCACACTCAGCTCTTAGTATTCGTCACACTACCAAAGCCACTTCAGTGCACACTCAGCTCATAGTATTCATCACACTTAAGTGGAGGAGCATGGTGAGTAAGGCTGATAAATGCTCATCAGGTGGTTTTTATCCTGCCTCCTAAGCCTGGCTCCTCCTGAGTGACAAACAGCTCCCACAAGGTCTCTGAGGTTTCCCTTGCTGCTTAGGAACCTTAGTCAGAATGAATGGGCACTCACAACCCTTTTCTCCTCCAAGGTAAGTATAAAGCCATGATCTCTTGCTCTTTATCAGTATAAATCATAACTCGGATCCTTATAACTATGGTCTTAATTCTGATGGTGATACTTCCTCTCTAATGACACAAGTTGACTGTTTTATACATAACTGCCCTCTCTAGCTGGAATTACCAACTCAGTTTCTTATTGGAATGGATGGTACCCTATGGAGGTCTTCCTACTTTACCTTAGATCTCCTGAACAAAAGTTTGTGCTCAGGGTATGACTAAAAGTAATTGAAAATGAACACCATTGTCCCCCAAAACTTCCCCTAGTCCCAGATTAAAATACTAGACCTAACATCAATCCTTTCTTAAAAATAAAATCTATATCTTCCCTAATCTCCTTGTCCTGTATGAGTCACTCTGCAAAACTGCTTGCCCAGAATCAGGGCCAGGACTACAATGAGGAAAACAAGACATTCACCTCAGTGTGAACCTATAAAGGTCTCCGGATGTCCTGGTTTGGTTTTGTCTTGTCAACTTGACATAAGCAAGAGCCATCTGGGAAGAAGCAACCTCAGTTAGAAATTTCCCCATCAGATTGCCTATAGGAAAATTTGCATGTCATTTTCTTGATTGATGGTTGATGTGAGAATGTCCAGCACAGCGCCACCACTAGGCAGGTGGTCCTATGTTGTATAAAAACATAAGCTGAGAGAGCCACGAGGAGCAAGCCAGTACACAACATTCCTCCATGGCCTCTGTTTCAGCTCTTGCTCCAAGTTCACTCTTGGAACCCCCACCCTGACTTCCCTGCATAATGGACTGTTTGCTGTAAGTTGAAATGAGTCCTCTCCTCCCCACATTGCTTCTGGTCACTGAGTTTATCACAGCAATAGAAACATAAACTAGGACATACGAAGCAGCAGTTACAACTAAAACACTGTTTGAGCTTTTCAGATAGATAGCACTCTGAAAGCCAGGTAAGCCTTTAATTCACAGCAATCCTCCTGCCTCAGCCACCCAACTGCTGGAGTTAATGTCATAATACCATGCTCAGCTCACATATAAATATTTTAATGTGGCATTTTCACATAGATAGCACTCTGAAAGCCAGGTAAGCCTTTAATTCACAGCAATTCTATAGATAGCACTCTGAAAGCCAGGTAAGCCTTTAATTCACAGCAATCCTCCTGCCTCAGTCACCCAACTGCTGGAGTTAATGTCATAATACCATGCTCAGCTCACATATAAATATTTTAATGTGGCATTTTAGTTGATCAAAACCAAGGCAAAAATCTATGATGTATTAAAATTTTTAATAGGCAATAGTACTGAGTTTTCTTTTTTGCCTAAGGCTCTCATATAGCAAAGCACTCTTGGTAATTCTGTCTTTGCTTAAATTTTGAAATTCACTCATCGTGAATTTGGTGCCTAAAGCTGGCATGTCACTCCTCTAACCCTAGTTCTGATAATAAGCATCAGAATAGGACATTCATATGAATAAACAAACAAAAACAACATATGAAAAATGTGGCCTTAGCAGCAATGACCATGAAGGAAGAAAGAAAGAAAGAAAAAAAGAAAGAAAGAAAGAAAGAAAGAAAGAAAGAAAGAAAGAAAGAAAAGAAAGAATTTGCTTAGAAAATTTTCTGTAATTTGAATAAGATATTTTGATATAAATTGCTTAGTAGAAAATAAAATTTGTGAAAGTATGATAATTCATTAATCTTTCCAAATTTTGAAATTATAAACCCTCTTCTTGAAGTTTTATTTTAAGAATGGAAGTTGAGTTATTTAGAACTGGGCCTTATTAAGATTGGATGGCAAATAATTCTTCCACTGTGGATGGCTGACTGTAAAGTATGTTTAACATGATTAGTCTCTAACCAACTAAAGAACAGTGGATTCCTACCCCAGTTCCAACAACTAAAAATGTGTCTAGAAATTATCAAATGTCCCCTGGAGAAGTTGAAACTTACCAGTTAATCCTCCTATTGAAATCATACTAATTTCATCTGTATGGTAACGCAAGTCCAACCTAAGACCTTCAGTATATCAGACAAGCTTGCTCCCAGATTCCTGAAAATGAAGAATTTCTTTTAAATACAACCACTTAAAGAAATGAACTTTCAAGATAATGAGGAACTATGGTCAGAATGCTAGATGAAGCAACAAAACCCAGTATTCACTTTTCTAACAAACAGAACACCAAATACATCAACCAACTTTTCCTTAAATACATTTTCCCATTGACAACTTTAAGCCTCAATCCTGCAACACAGAATGCAAGGCATTTAGAAGTCAAAGCTCAACTAAAGTGAAAGGTCGAAGAGGAAATCCTCTTCACATTAAGCTGGACTTCAAAAGACTAAATAACTAGACTCACATCCTGGGTTCTACTGCCAGAGCCCCGTAAAGAGGGAAAGAGAGAACCAGTTCCACAGATAGTCCTCTAACTTCAACACAAACACTGTGTGTGAACACCTCCCCCAAACCCCCACACACACATCATCATGTACACGCCACAATAATAATAACTGATAAATAAAATTGAAAGATTAGAACGAGACTGAAGCCTGTCCCACATCCTATACCTATTTCCATAGGGTTTAAACGAAGGCTGTTCTGAAACAAGAAGAGAGAAATTTAAAAAAAAAAAACTTTTTTGAAGATTTTATTCAATTTTTTATAAATATTTTTACTTTATAATTAATTTAATTTTATATATCAGACACGGATTCCCCTGTCCTCCATCTTCCCACCCCCTAACCTTCTCCCCAATTCACCCTCCATTCCCATCTCCTCCAAGGCAAGGTCTCCCCTGGGGAGTCAGCCCAGCCTGGTAGATTGGTTGAGGCAGGTCCAGTCCCCTCCTCCCTGCACCAAGGCTGAGCAAACTGTCTCAGCATAGGCCCCAGGCTCCAAAAAGCCAGCTCATGCACTAAGTACAGGTCCCAGTCCCACTGCCTGGGGGCCTCCTAAACAGTTCAAGCTAATCAGCTGTCACACTTATCCAGAGGGCCTGGTCCAGTTCCATGGGAGCTAGAAGAGGAAAATTTTTAAGAGAGAGAGCAAGAGTGACCTTTGTCTTAGCATTCATGGGCATTTGCTGGCCAGGTTCTCATCACCCAGGTGACCAGGGAATGCTAAGTTAGGATGCTGGCTAATAATCCAAAGTGCCAGCAAAAGCTAATGCAAATTCTTCCTAAAAGAAACTCTTTACTGTCAGCCTTCAAAATGCATCAGGTAGTGTTGCAAGGGCCTTGAGAAAAATAAGCTTCCAAAGACACACAGCATCAGGGACTCAGACCATCATAAATAAAAGACAACTGAAAGAGACCAAATGCTAGAGTTATCGTATAAAACTATGCTTACTATCATTTTAAATGCCACACAAGGATAGAAAACTATAAAAGTGAAAAAGCAATTTGAAAAAGATCCAAATGAAATTTCTAGAAATGGAAAATATAATCACCAAAATTTAAAACTCAATATATTTCTTTAGCTGAAGATTAAACCCAGAGAAAGAAAATGAATGAAGTGGGGGATCGAGCAGAAGAAACTGCAGAAAACGATCTAGGACCAGCAAGCAGAGAAGGGCGAGAAAAATATCATAGACAGTTATTCTCGGTTCCAGGAAGATTGCAGGCAGAAGCGCTCACACAGTTTATCAATGGTAACTTACAGATAAGACACACCTAGAAGCCGGGGGCTTCTTACAGTGGCTTCCCCCCACGGAGCAGTCTTACTCTACCCGTGCTGGTCACGCTGCTGCCACGTCAGCTGATGGACATGCACTGTCTGTAAGAAAAGGAGTTGAGTTCACTGTTGAGATGACTTTGAGAACGATACATTAGCATTGGAAAATGACTGTCGTAGAGCATTTCGTGTCCTATAAGAGAACGTCAAGGACTGGGTACTTTTGAAAGAAAAGAAACATTTCTTACAAGTCTGGAGTTGCAACAAATGAAGCGGAGACCTGCATTGGACAGGGCGAAGGCTGTGGTCACCTAACGGCCGCGGAAGAGAACGAGAGAGCTCAAGAAGGGGACAGGACGAAAGGAAGCCAAACTCACTTCGTGTTGTTGCTGTTGGCTGCTGCTGCGGTGGTGATGGTGGTGGTGGTGGTGGTGGTGGTGGTGGTGGTGGTGGTGGCAGCGGCGGTGGTGGTGGAACAGGGTCTCTCTCTCTGTAACCCTGGCTGTACTGGAGTTTGCTCTGTAGACTAGCCTGGCCTTTAACAGAGATCCTCCTGTCTCTGCCTCCTGAGTACGGAGACTAAAGGTAGGCACCACCATGCTCACCCAGACTCACTTTTATAACAATCCTATTCTCTTGGTACCAACCAGTTTCCTAGATAATGACACTAGTCCATTCACCAAGGCAGGACCCTCATGACCTAGTCAACTCTCAATTCTACCTCTTAACACTAAGACTGGAGGTTGAATACCAATACACAAACTGTTAGGAGGCACATTCAATTTGTTGCAATAGCTTAGGAAAGCTATTATAGCTTAGAAAAGTTTGTTTAAATTGTGTATAGAGAGGCTGGAGGGATGGCTCAAGGGTTAAGAGTGCTTGCTGCTCTTGCAGATGATCCAGGTTCAATTCCCAGCACCTACATGGTAGTTCACAAGCATCTATAACACCAGTTCCAGGAAATAAGCTACCTCTGTTGACCTCCTATCACTGCATGTGCATGTGCACATACGTACACTCAGAAACACACACACATACACATAAAAATAAGTAATTTTTAAAAATAGAGTGTATGTAGAGGGGCACCCATACTGACTTACAGAAGCAAATTCATAATTGAAATAATCACCACAATAAAGTGGTTACATTCCCATAAATTGACAACTAGTATCTACAGAATCCAAGAAGGAAAAACTTAAATATATGAAACTATGCTATTCTTTCTTGCTTATGTCAAGCAGTATAACTGAGAAAATGTTTATTTTGGGAAAAATCACAGATTTAAAAGCATCCAGAATCCATATGAAACAATTCATGCATGCTATGTTACTGGACTGAGAGAGCAGTTCAATAGTAGCTCAAGGCCCTGCATTTGAGCCCAGCATTGAAAGAAAGAAAAACCAGTAATGCTAGCTAGTACTGAAACATTTGTAGTATTTTTTCTTTTATTGGTATATAAATGGTATACATACAACTGGCACTATCAATAGATTTGGATAAGTAGATAGAGAGACATGAATAAACAGATAGATGGATAGATAGATAGATAAGATGACAGATAGATGAGAGAGAGATGATACAGTGTTTGAAGAGATAAAATCTTCAGAACCAGTAAAAGATACCAATTCACATATTTTAGAAGCCATAAACTTCTAAACAATATAAATAAAAAGAAATCCATCTATACCCAGACATGCATATCAGTATGAACTTGTCTAAAGCCAAAAGCAAAGAGAAAGACTTTAAAAGGAGCCAAAGGGGTAGGGAAAAAAAGGACAGATTACCTTCAAAAGACAGGAGATCATGCTAGACAAACAGGCAAGAGAGTTCAAATATTCAATACATGGAAGAAAAAGCTGCATGTGTCAAGGTGGCCATTCTCCTCTGCTTGATTCAGATACTCAACGTGATTCCTACCAGAATTTCAGTAGGCTTTTGACAGAAGGTAGTAAGATATTCCTAAAACTTTATGTGGAATTGAAAAAGACCTGGGATGCCAAAATAATCTTGAAAAATAACAACAAAGCAGGAACTTATATTTCTCAATTTCAAACCTTGACATAAGCAATCTTTATAGCATATATCTGTAATCCCAGCTCTTGGGAAGTATGAGCAGCAAGTTTGAGGCCAGTCTGGTCTATATAGAAAGGTCCAGAACCCCAAGCCAGCCAGGACTACACAGTGAGAAGCGATCTAATTTTTTAAATGGCCCTATTATAAAACTATAGCTGTTAACATACTGTGATATTGGTAGGAAGAAACATATAAATCACTGAATCAGACATGAAAGCACAGAAATAAGTTGTTACATTTATGGTCAACTGATTTTCAACAAATGTACTGGGCAAATTCCCTGGGGAAAAGACACTTTCAACTGTCCACATGCCCAAAGATGACACCCACCCTCTATCTCACACTTTACACAGAACAGAACATAAAACAGACTTTAATTTATTTATATAGCTATGTGTGACACCAATATCATGTTCATTGAATTTTTTTCATTGCTAAATAATGAATCCAGGGCTTCACTCATGTCAGGGAAATGTCTTATGACTGAACTACATTCCCAGCCATGAACATAGTTTTGCTCAAGTAGATAGAGTTCATACATTCTTTGTCTTTGGCTGTTTGGGTGCATGAGATTAAAAACACAATACGACTGCTGTAAAGAAATTTTCTGCCACTCCCCTGCCAGCATCCTCCTGTATAAAGAATTTTTAAGAGTCAAAAGAGTGCAGGTGTATTTGAAAGTAGAATTGACTCTATTGGTTCAGTTTTACTCAAGATTCAGGTCACGGGGGATCCATTGCCCTACTCAGAAAGAGACCTCCCTATTAACCATTAAAATATTCCCTCTTTTTAAATTTGCAATATCATGGCCTCTTTATAAATTAGACATTTAAGGAAAACTACACTTTCTTTAGCAAAAGTTTTTTTTAAGCCTCGTTCTTCCTCTGTGCATTTTCTTTGGTATTAAGAAAGGAAAATAACTTATTTTTACAGCCTGGGTTCAGGCAACTGCCCAAATGACTTATAGAACTGATATCATTTTATAGAAAGTGTATGAATATTAACAAATCATCCTAATGATTTTTTTATCTGAAACCTGAAAAAAATAAATTCATCATCATGAATCGATTTTGAAATACAAAAGCAGAATTATACTGTTGTTAAAATTGTTCAAAACTGTACTTCATTTTTTTGAAGACCATTTAGTTTTTCTGAAATAAAGAGTTGATTGTATATCTTATTCTGTTAGAAAATTTGATATACTGCAAAGTAGAATTATGGCATGTACCAACAATCAAGCAGGAAAAATGAATCTGATTCATAATTCATTCTAAGAATGTCTAGTTAGCCAATCAAGTGATTTGTAATCATAAAGGCTGCCAGAAATTGAATGAATAATGGGCCCAGTAAGATCCTCTGATTTTTCCTCTTAGTACTATATTTCATTATATCTTTTATTGCCATTTTTGTTCACTGTTTCTTAATAACACAAATTAGATCACATATATTTACTTAAAAGTTTTTAGCTATTATTAGGCTAAAGGATATATAAGTTGAATGGCCAAAGCACTTAATATATTCCTACAAAATTGTCTTAGTGTTTGTCGCTTGAACAAGGAAAATCTTATTTCCAAACCATTTCCCCACTTATTTTTAAATTATTTTGTGAATATGTAATTCAGAAAAGTATATTTCAGTTCTGTATATTTCATTAAGTTAATTCTATATATCTATAAAATTCTATAATTCTATATATTCTAAAGTATATAAGTCATTTAGTGTAATATAGTTTATATCAGAGAACTTAAGTTTTCTTTTAATATCATTATTGTACATTCCTTCCTCAGTCAAAATTATAACATAACCAGATACTAAAAGGAATATTTAACTATTAATTGGTAAACATTTATATAATTATAAAATTGTACAAAAGACAAAATACAAAGTTAATGTAAAGTTTCACATATCACTAACAAAATAATGTGATAAAATGGTTTTAAACATAAAACTATTGAATCATGCAAAACTGTCAGTTTAGTAATTCTAGACATAGTAATCATTGTAATCAAGACTGCATGATATCAGGATGGCAGCTTTAAAGCACATGAAACTTTAAATGTGATGATAAGTGGGACATCCTTTAATTTCCCTTCCATAATTTCCAAACAGAAATGTCCTTTCCCAACTTGAACTGATTAATTCCCAAGCATTTGGAGATCTTATTCAGAAAAACAATAGTGTTAAGGTCTACAAAACTTAAAATCTAATATCTATTAAGAAAATTAGCTACTTAAATTTGTTGGTCATTTTCCAATCACAAATAGCTGTTCAAAACTGCGAAGTTCTGTGCACTGAGCCCAAGATACTAGTATGAGTGTGGTGAGACCTTGAAAAGCATGGTTCTCTGAAAAGAACCTTCACAGCTCAGTTTGGAATCCACGTTACAGACTTCATCACGGCAGTTGATATTCCTTCTCTTTCTCAGAGACAATAGCCATGCTTTAACTCAACAGCTGTTCATTAGGCACCCTATGCCATAGATCACACCAAAAATGGAAATGCAAAAAGCCATAAAAAATGTAACTTTTGTGCTTACCCTTAAAAAGGAAATCTAGTCCAGCCAGAAAGAGGGATACAACTAAGAGCAATAAACTGTAATTTCTACAACAGACTCTTGAACTGGAAATCTTGGTGATAGAGCTCAGTCACAAAGAAAACTAAATCTCAGATGAAAAGTTGCCATTTAGAAGATAAGCAAAGTAAAAATACTACGATGGTTAAGACAAAACTATGAATAGAGACAAGACTGCAAATCAGATTGTCATTGTAGCATGACTAGGAGATACTGAGTTTTCCTGGAATTAGCTAGTATGCAAGGACTATCCATGATATTGGATGATAAAATAAATGGTTGTCATGAGTGAGGCTGGAGCAATCTGCAGAGGCTTGATAGTAGAAGACTACAAAGAATAGAATCCATACATTTTATAAACAAGAAAAGTCATCAAAATACCTTAAATACAAAAAATCACAGAAATCCTAGGCCATATCTCAGGTATAGCACTATCCTAGCATGTACAAGGCCCAGG